CTGCAATTGTTATTTTTTTGAATGTTTACAGATTTTTACAAATAATTTTGTGGGATTCATTTTTACACTGTATTCATGACATTTCTGTACTTGGTGTTTAGCTGGGACATTTGGCCAAATAGTGATACAAATTATATATATTTCCATATATATTTGCACTGATAGCTTTTACTAGAGTGCATTTATGTGTAAGTGTATGTGAAAGAGAGAGAGAGAGAGAGAGAGAGAGAGAGAGAGAGAGAGAGCACATGTACTTCACTAATTAGACTCATAAAAGTAACACACAGCAACATGATCCTCAACCTGGATTTCCACATATAAGGTTGCCAGGGGAAGCAGACACAACAACACCCAACAACCATTTATTAGTCTAATTCTTTACAGATGGTATGTTTGTGAATGTTTTTTTTTCTTATTAATTTTGAGTTTTGCTTTTCAGTGCTACCAGTAGCTGGAGTCATACCCATAGTGACACCTCGATAAGATGTTTACATCATGTGTGAGGTGCTTTACTGCCAAAATCAGACACAACCAGTCCAGTGCAGTAAGAGCTGCTGAGTAAACAAGTGACCACCTTTGTTTACATTTCCATTCACAGAACTGAAAGAAATGAGGCTTTGTTGCGGCGTTCAATACTGAAAAAAAACTGTGGCTCTGATCATTTTGTATGCATGTGTTTGACTAGAAGAATTGCACCCGGTATGACCTCTAGATCTGTGTTGCAGAAGGTGCTGGCTCCAACAGCTCAGCTGGAAACATTCTTAAAGTATCACATTGCTATTATTGGAATGAAAATATTCCTCCTCCATTTTGGTAGGCTCCAATTCCAGCGTCCCAACCCACACAATTCTTTAACAATAATGTTTTCCTGGTCTAGTATTTCAAATAGGAGGATCTTAGACACTTTCCTGGAAGGAAAGAAATAGTGAAAAACACTCCCACTTTTCTCAAAAATTCTAACTCTTTGCTTTTGTAAAGTGTAATTTAAGCACTCTTTGTGTGTCTGACTGGATTAGAGCATGAAATGAAGAATGTGTTTGCCCATCACACACAGCCGGAATGTATAGCAGGAACAAATGATTCACAAGGGCAAACTATTGCTTTTTTTGTGCTTTTTTTTGCCTTCTTTGAAAGACTCTTGATGAGAGTAACTGTTCCATCTGCTCATACAGCTGAGGGTACACTTGGGAGCAAAGATGGCATGCAGCAGTTTGCAATCACCATCACTCTCCCTTCATGACACAAAAGGGAGACTTCCACCCAGCAAGCATTTGATTAAAGCAACAGTAGAACATCAAGGCTCATCTTCCTACCAGTGCAAAACACAGCATGGAGAGATTTTAGAGCCGCAGATGTGTGATATAGTTCTTAAGTTTGTTTGTGCATATCAGGTTGTCATGGACACACATGTCTTGAGGAGGCAAAGGCATTTTAAGACATGGTGATGTGATATAACATGAAATTTCAATGTTATGTAAGTGAGTTATTTTCATAAAGAGGCCATGAGTACACCAGATGGTTTATCTGATGTGACATCCATAACTCCTCGTCAAAGATACTGGTGTAAATCATCCATCCATTCATCCACTGAGGGTGAAG